CGAGAAACGCGAGGAGGGAGGACGGCAATAATTCTCTCCGCGACGATATTTCAATAACGCCGTATAAAGTATCGCCGTCCGGCCCGATATAAGCCCGATATTCAATGGTTACCTATCAGTTTCCCGTCGTGCACGGCATTAAATCTGCATCCGATGAAACCGATTCCCTCTTGGAAATCACGCCGAGGGCCCGGCCCGCCGGAAGAAAAAGGATCTGCCATCGGCACAGACGTGTCCCCGGCATTCGTGTCTGTCGATGATCCGAAGGGAAGAGGAATGTTTCAGTCTCTAATAAAACGAGCGGCCTCTCCGATTGTAATTGAAAAAAATCGGGCGTTCGCGATTTGCGTTAATCAACGTGAACGCTGATTCATCGGTGATCGAGTTCGTACTTGTGCCTTAATTATAGTGCGTTACAGTATGATTGTAGCTATTATTATTTATTTCCTTATATATTCTACTATTTATTCTATAGTAATTACAGAAATTATCATTTTATTAGAGTATACTTATTAAATTAATAGTTTCCTTTTCCCAACATTTAAGAGTTCAATTTATTGTCTATAGTTTTTTCGACAAATTTCACAGGTTTTAAATACTTTTGAAAGTCCTTGTTCTCAGAGGGTTGAACACGATACTATCATCGCCGATTTTATAGTGAACACAGCCGAATTTCTCTAGAGGCTATTGATCTATGCGTGGGTAACTAATAGAATCCGTAACTCGAGACACGCGCATGATTACCAAATGAATAAGACATAAACGAACTGCCAGCCATCCGAACGACGCCGCAATATCGCCGCGCTCCGCGCTCACGTCGCCAAATTCTAGAGACTCTAGAAAGAGAATGGTATACGTCGGCGAACGAAAGCTATACGGCAGACGACGCGTATGGAATATTTGAATTTAGATTGGAATATTTAAATTAACGAATTTGAGTCGAGTTGAACAGTGCCGGCCGAATCCCGATGCCGGGGCCACGTCAAAAATGGCCCTTTCGGTAACCGAGTTGCCGTCGGGACGACTTCGCCCGCGTCCATCTCGGCGTCGAATCGTTACGCGTCGCGTTGCATCGCTGAAAGTTCATTTTCCACCGGCACGGTTAAGCGCGGAGAGCCGAGAAGTTTGATAAAAGCGGGGGATGCACGGCGCGAACGCGCGAGGCGAGAACGTCCGCGGGTTTCTCGTATGGAAATTTTAAACTGAGACGCGCCCGTTAGTAACGCGCGCCGTGATGATAGAATATGTGAAGTATAATATGTACGTACAGCGCGCGCGCGTGGAGGCGTGTACGTGCGGGCACACGTACGCTCCCGATACGCGCGTGCACGTGTACAAAGATAATAATAGGGCCAGCGGCCGGGGGCCATGTTTCGAAAGTTTAACCGTTTCGGACCGTCCGGTAACAAGTTCATGAATAACCGAGCACGATTACATCGTAACGCGTTAATGACGCGGCGCCCTGCGTCCCCGGAACTGATGCACCGTTCGGATTAATTTTCTCGGCCGCACTTCCGCGCGGAATGAATTTTATTCGCGTTTTACGCCCGCGTTGCGAGGTTGTCGGATAATATCCGGCGGGGAGTGTCGCGGATTTAATTAATCCGCGGGACTTAAGCCGCGGACGCTTAATCTGATCAACTAACGGCGGCCCGGCATGTGAAGGTAATGAACTTATCGTTTGGGTTTAAAGATCTCGCGGAGGAATTGAATAAATTATGAATAATTGTACAGTACTCGTAACGTTGTCGAAAGGATTGATGTTCCTTCGGATAGGTCTTGGGAATTGAGGTTTCAAAATGGACGATTGGAATAATAGATGTTTAATATTCAGAATGTGTCTAACTGACGTGAACCTAGAGTTAGAGAGCAGAATCGTTTGTGATTCATAAACCGAAGGTGAGAAGACAATAGCTAATATTAAAGAGGTGCGAAAACAATGGCTAATATGAAAGTTCTACTGCGATACACGCGGAGAATCCTTTGTAATGAGAGAAAGCGATACGAGAATCGAACAGCTGGGAAAGGAAGAAGGATAACATAGCGTGAGGATGAGGGGATAAGACTCCATCGATTTTTTTTTAATAAGACAATTAGCCGGAGAACAGAAAGGGAATCGAGATAAAACGGAGGAGGAAAAATGGAGGTGCAACGGGAGCGCGCTTTGTGTGCAAGAGGATAAGAAGGCATTGCCCATTAAAATGCAGCGTGCTCGTCTGCAATCAGGCCGATACAGGCTCCTAACTAGCTACGGAATCGACGGGAGCGAAGGATACGAACGTGTGTCGAGACGAACCAATATGGATTAAAGAAAATTCCATGGTTCCGTCGATGAAAACTCGCGAAACATCGTGAAACGATGCGTCGAGCCAAGATTGCTGACGTTTCTCATCGAAATCTATACGTGACTTTTCTTCTTTACGAAATAATTCATATCATAGAAGCCATTTATTGTTACGTCGTCTCTATTATGCATAACGGTTGAAGCTAAAGTATTACATGCACGTGAATTATACAGTGCCGCGTGGAAACAAGAAACAGCCGGAGGCTGTTTTAAAGGCACACTAAAAGTTAAACGTATAACGCAAAGGGAAGTGTACACGGTACGTTAATAAATACTTTCTACTTCGGCAGCAACAATACGGACAGTGTTCCCGAGCGTTGGAGGATATACAGCGGCGAGAGCGAGCGAGCGAGCGCGCGGCTTATCGAATGCAAGGCGAACAAACAAACGAAGGCGCAGTCGCGACTGTTCCTAGCCGGTCTGCGGATTTCGAATGCCGAGCACGTGCCTTTGTTACGAGATAATACCACTTCCGAATTTATACCTAAACTCCTAGCTTCGGCGACTTGAAATTCGCATTCCTAATTAACGAGCCGAACAGGTCGCGGCGCCGGGGAAATAAACAATGGTAAACGATAACGTTAAAAGAGCGTCGCGCAGCGCGCGGCCGCCCCGTGGGAATACAAAAATATTGTTGCGTGAAACTTTCTGCTCGGCGACGTGTTCGGAGCTCGTTGAAATTGCGACAGGAAAGAAGAAAGTGGGAAATGAAAACATGAAACTTACAAGAATAATGCGTTGCTCGAGTAATATTTATCAACTTCAGATTTCCAGCGACAGCATACTCTTTTCAGAGTATTTAAAACAAACGAACTGAAACACCGCTGACAAAAGTATTTCCAAAATATAGGAAATATAAGAAACCAGAGGAAAGTGAAGCAAAATGAAAGCTATAAGATCCTAATCAAATGCCAGGATTTCTCGGTAGAGAAGAAAGTCCCGAGAACTATAGGGAAGACAACGTGAAAGGGTACAGAGCAGGGGTGTTCATCTACCCGGTCGGTGACAAAGGCTCAAAGGCTCGGAATATTGAGATAGCTCATGGTAATTCGAATGCTGATTGAAATAAAAGGTCACCGGGAACCGGGACAAAACGAATAGCCGCGGTATATATGACGTATGGTGGTTAATGGAAGCTAGGCAGGATGGCGTCCCGGAAAAAGAGAGTGCTAGAGAAAGAGAGAGAGAGAGAGGCAAAGCGAGAGAGAGAGGCGTAACGAATGGGCGGGCAAGAAGGGGACGGTGAAGGGACGGAAGAGAAGACTCGATTACACGTCACCGGCAGCCCAGGGCCTATTGGGTCGCAATCGGTTTTTCATTACCGAAAGCTTCATCGGCTTTATACCGAATTGTACATTCGCCGGACCCTCGTGAAACTCATCAAGATCGTACGTCCTTTCGGAACAACGATCCGCGACCTTCTGGTCACCGTCGCCCACCGAATGACTGGCTATTGTTTAACTCTAATAGAACTCGAATCGGCGCGCTTGAAATATGAGAACCGCCAACGGCACGTTTCTTCGGGAGGGAAATAGAAAATTGCCGGGTATAATGTAGTCGGTCTTGCCGGACGGACTGCATCCTCGAGAGTGAATTTGACAGGCAGTGGAATGACCCGGTGTTTGTCCGGCAAAAGCGATACGTCTGGGTACCGAAAGGGAGGAATTTTGAGGGAGTCTTATGGAGCGATTTGTAGAAATCAGTATCATGCACATTGTAGTTGTAAGGTATTAATACTACTACGAAACAGATGCAAAAAATTGTAGAGTTTTATTTAATGTAGATCATTGAAGATAAATGTTGCGGTATTTATACGTATTCTTTGAATAAAATGTTATTTTGTATGTCTTCTCGTAATGTATGTGCATGTACGATAAATTGATAACTATTGCACGATGCGTTGGATCGTGTTGTTGATAAGAGATTAAAATTGCTTTTGGAAATTTTATAAGTGCGATGTTGAATGTAAGTTTTTAAGTGATCTAAGGAAAGGGATAATTAGTGGTATTTAAACACCGTGCATCAATACTTGATGAACTGCCTGAAAACTATGCACATAGAGCCATCTATGTGGAATGTTACGAATATTTATGAATGGGGACGAAAGTTGTATGACCGTCTGGACATTTTATGGGACCTCTAATATCGACGAGAGACAAGATAGACTGGATATCCTATGGGATTTTGATATTGCGGCAAGAAAATTAAGAAGAGAACGTAATCCCTCGGCTGTGTGGCAAAAATTTATATTGCATTTATCCTATATTATTGTCAGTGTTTGTGCTATTTAATTGGCATTTATTTATTCACTGTTGGTAACGTTGTAACTGACATGGGAATGGTAACAGAATTAGATAACTTCTAAACTACATGATAAAATTTTAGAATTGACGTCCAGTCTTACAATATCTGCTATAATATATTTAATCTTTGTCAAAATTTCAGTTATTAAAATAAGAATTATTGGTATAGAATTTATTGAAGAATTTTCCAATCTGTTTCCTGCTGATAAGCCTAAAATATTGTAATATCGGTAATGTCGAGGAGAGACTGAAATAGTATGGGGGTTCTGAGACCCCTGAAGCCCTAAATAAAAATTCTCATAAGCTGCAACGTCTGTACGTATCTTAGGTCTGTGTCTATGCTCATGATATTCACAATGATCATCCTAGAGGGCGACGTATTCGATGACTGACCATTGTGTGGTGCGAAGATACGTCGAAGTAATCAGCTGATTGGGTTATTTTTGTGAGCTCAGTATGCTGCAGAAATAAATTATTTTGTGTCGATACACTGTGAACTATGAACTCTCAATATTTGTTCGAATACCAGTGTAAATTTGTTCTGAATCGGTGTACAAAGGGCCATTATCCTTTGACGAATAATTAATGTCTCCGGAAAATTGTGGTTGAAAATTTATCAGGAGTGTGATATATAGTGGTGATATGTAAAAGAGGGTGACGTTAGTTTAAAAAATACGATAAAAACCTTGTAAAAACATGTCATCCGCGTCAGAAAGCAGTACAATGAAGCAGCCTATTAAGCGTCTGGAGATCCAAATTAATAATTTCAACATCGCTGTACCTCATCATGTTGATTTATTAAAGAGGCATAAGAATAATATCCTAAAAGTAAGTATTTCGATTGAATTTAGTATTTTCCTTTGTATTCCTTTGTGCAATGTCTTTGTCTTTATAGTACCAAGCGCAACATGATTGGGAAAGAATGCATAAGGAACATGTGAACGTATCAAGGCCTGTGAAGCAACTAAAGGAATTATTGTATCAAATGGACACTCTTAGAACACAGGTTCTTGACTCTGATATTGAGCAATTTGATAAATTGACTGCTAATGCTCGCACAAATATGATGAATGCCATTAAAGAGTATTTAGGTAACAAAATACATTTGTTACAAGTGTTACATTCGCATCCAATACAAATAATATATATACAAAAATAATAATACATGTGAAATTCGTAGAACTGGAATTAAACTTACCACTTTCACCACCTGAGTCACCCAAAAGTGAAAATCAGAATGAAGAGCACCCACTTAACGATAGCTATGTCCAATTGGAGAAAGAACAGAAGGAATTGCAGCATCAAAAAACATGTCTGCATACTTGGAACAATCTGCAGGGAGATATAAATCAGCTACATGATTTGTTTGTTGAGTTCAACAAGATTGTGGATGTAAGATTTTTAAATTTTTTAATAATCTAGAATCTAATTGAATTGTATATATATACAGGGTGTTACCTCTAACGCGACGTACTGACAAAAAAATGTTTTGAAACGGTATGTTTTATATTTTTAGGATCAAAGAGAAACTGTAAATAAAGCAGAGAATGATATAGAGGAGACAAGCACGAATGTACAAGAGGGTGAAAAAATGCTGGCAAAGGCTGCAAGATATAAACTTGCTATGTATCCATTTGCAGGGGCTTTAATTGGTACTTGTGTTGGTGGACCTGTTGGTCTAGTAGCAGGTTTAAAAATTGGTGGAATAACTGCATTAGGTTGTGGCCTTTTAGGTGAGTTTTATTATTCGTACAATCTTAATGAATGATCAAAAATATAACTTAAGTCAATACTACTTCCCCCCTGTTACAAGGTGTTAAAATTCTTAATTTTCTGACAACTCATTGAACACATTAAACTTTCATATTTGTAACGTGGAATCTCATATTTCTCAGGTTTTACTGGGGCAACGATACTAAAGAAAAAAGAATTACAAATGCAAAAGTCAACGAGCACATCAGACTACAGTATGATAGAACGAAAGCCAATACAGAGATCACCATCATTGCCAGGTAACTCAACAGAAACCAAAAAAGATTTATGACCAATAGAGAAGTCTGACATTAGTGTTAAAAAAAAGAATGCTTGTAACATTATTTAATCTCGGAGGACTGATACATGTGATACACGTCTTTTGCATCTAGACATGCTTTTTTGATATTACACGAATAAAATGGAAAGGCATGCAAAAATTGACTATTGATAATTTTAATATACATTGCCTCCAAAATGGCTTGCGACTGCTTAAAGGCACTGACAATGTTGTCTTGTTATCAATTTTATAACTAGTAAGAAATATGACATTTTTTTTTATTATCATTACATTTTGAAGGCACTGATATGTACGTAGGGTTGTTCGCATTGATATTACTAAAATATTGTACATCATATTAAAATTAGGTTATCGAATACATTACACTGAATCTTTATATAGCATCATTTGTACGTTTCTAACGGCAAAATGTACTTACCGCGAAAACGGTTTGTATGTACTTCTTTGCGAAACTGATGTTCACCGGCGGAAAACAAATTTTTCTACACTTCCAACCTACTTTCGCGAAATATTATATATGATCGTCACACAAGAACCGAAAATTGAAAGGTCTACAAACAGAACATTCGCAAATCAAACGTTTAGTTTAATAAACAAGCACAAAATGATCAATTAGCAACACACCAGAGACACTAGAGCGTACCATCTACCGGAAGTCACGATCGACACCGTTAATATCGATCGTTCGAGCGCGCTCGATTCGATCGACTTTTCGAAACAATGTCCCGCGAATTTCATTGTACACCGTTGAATGCAATAAAACCATTTGCTTAATTAGTTTTAGACGAATGATTCTCGTTGAACCGTTATAATTCCACGGCACGTATACGATAGAGAAGGAAACGGGGCGACGCGTGACAGAAAACTTAAAGGTTTGAAATTCGCTACAAAAGGCACCCAATACAGTATATTTAGCAAGTAATAAAATACATCGGTGTTAGACACAGTACAATACTGAAATAATCATGTTATCAATGTAAATATATGTGTATTTATATACATTTCGTTAGAATGATGCGGAGATACTTAATTCTACGGACTAAAATGATCTACTTAAAAAAATATTAATAAATATCTACGAGCGTGTAACATTTAAGTGACTATCGGTGTATCTTAAGGTACCGGGTTTTATTATCGTCATTGATCCGACATCCCCGAACTCGCGAAGCGTTACCAAGCCCCCCGCATTGATCTGGTCGTAAAATAGAAAAATTCCTCTTACTTTCGTTCGCCGTTTGGTCTCGCTTCCGAAGGAACGGGATGCCCAGCCGGATGCACCGATTTTATATGGCATGCGCTGTTTCCGTTTTCGTGCGCGACGCGATATTTCCGTTGACCCTCGAAACGACGTCTCGCCTTTTGTAATTTCGACTCGTGAAACGATCACGCGATATCAACGATACAACTAAATCTGCGACTTGTCGGGAAATAAGAGAGAAGAGAAAAGTAAAAGTTACAGAGAGAGAAAGAGAGAGAAAGAAAGAAAGAGAGAGAGAGAGAGAGAGAGAGAGAGAGAGAGAAATGAGAGAATAATACGGACATTCAGTGGGGTGGGGGTGCATCGGACTGCTCTGGAAGGGAAATCTTTGCGAAGATCACTACGGGCTACAGCTACGTTTCTAAATACCTTAAAGATTCTTGTTCTCGTACCCCAGAATACGAATGGAAAAAAACAAACATAAAGAAACGATTTTGGTCAGTGTCCATATAAGGTATCGTTGAGATACCTTGGCAGACCTTGGCAATAACAATGGCTAATCGATTGACTCGGAAGCGTTGTAACAATACAGAATTATTGTGACAGGATAATTGCTGATTGCTACGCGTGTGTTGTTCGTCCATTCTCTTTCTTCGGTCGCTAAGCTCGCCGAGCGTGACTGTGATCGGAAACCGGTCGCAGGCCGATTCCGTTGATGATGCTGTTGACCGGAAAGATTCAGCTGAACAATAGAAACGTCATGTCTCGATGAATGGTAATCCCGTTTCGTGGTGGATCTCAGTGAATCGCAATCGAACCTGCACAGGTCGGAACGCCGTGGCTCCACCGGGGAGAAAGATAATCGGCATTTAAATGCGTTTACGAGTGTGGGCCGTCTTTAAGTCAAAGCGTACCGTCGCCATTCTCGCAATCCGGAGCCTATGCCAAAAACGTCCACACCGGATGGATCGATAACAACGTAAAATTCTCTTAACACTGTAAATTCATTCGTGGGAACGAAACGACGAAAACGAAGAGACTGAGAGGGGGTAGCAAATTTGGCTTTCGTTTACAGGCCAGAGTCTAGGTTTTAACACCTACGGGTGATAAAAGGTTTCACAAATGACTGACATAAAAAGAATATAATATTATGTATATTATATATAATATATAATGTATGCAATGTATATATGTATATATGTATATATAATATACACATATGTATATTTAATATATAATCTGGAAATAATATTTAGACTATCGGTTATGTTACCTGCGGCTACATCGTATAAACCTTTAATATTACAGTATATTACAAAGTGGTATGTATGTGTGCGCATTGGTTTTTGCCTGACATTCCTGAAAGGGACGCGCGGATTTCATTGATCGTAAACGTATCGGTTGAACGGATGATGAGCGGAGAACTAACGAAATACCTGAAGAAAGTGAATGAGAGACCGGGGGACAGGGTGGTGGTATCCGGGTGTTTCCGTCGAACGAAAAGCTGCGTCCTGGTGGTGTCGTGGGCGCGAGCACGACGCGGTGGCAGCGGAATATCGATTGATTTATTAAACTACACGTATATGTATAAATAAAGTATAAAAAGTACCATCGGACGAGTCATTTGGATAATCGATGAAGAATTCTCGGTCGCTGGTATCCAGGAATGCCAATGTTTTATGGGGGAAAAGAAAGAGATGGTAACCGGTGCATGCCGCTCACGATAATGCAGCGCATTGTAAAACATGCAGCCATACACATCTATATATATATATATTTTTTTGTTCTTAAATATATATATATATATATATATATATATAATTATATTTATTTATTTTATATATATA